AAGATCCTCCCCCACCCCACCCCCCGACTCTCCAGCTGACACTGTGGGTACAGTGTCGTCAGAGTCCAGGCAAGAAACAGAGTCCAGAGTCTGGACAGAGCGAAGAGGCGACACGGGAGACGGTGAGAACACGGGAGGTGGTGATGCACACGGCCAACCCTGGACAGGCCACTCAGCCCTGGCCAGCCAGCCAGTGACCTCAGGAGGACAGCAATGAGGTCAGACAGACGTCAGGCAGGTCCCCAAGCCAAGGCCCTCCGGAAACACATGGCACGCCTCCCCCAAGCCTGTGACTGCCTCGCTTGCCCTCAGTGTCCCCTCCCTGACCTGCCCGAGCCTCTGAGCTCAGGTCAGAGAGACATGCTGAGCCCGCAAACGTCAACTTACTGCTTATTAATAAACACAGCTTGGAATCGAGTGCGGGAACTCGAGACGCCAGAGGGGCCCTTGGAGATTGTGTGACCCAGCGGCTCATTCAGAGGAGGAGACTGGAGCCCAGAGACACGAGGTGCCGAAGGGCGAGTCTTGGGGAGTCCTGGGTTCTCTAGACCACTCCCCAGCCTTGCAAGGTCAGCCGCCAGCCAGTCCTCGCTGAGCACCTTCACGGGCTGGTCCAGTGCTATCGGGCGCTGTGGGGGACAGAGACCAGGCACTCCCAGGGGATGGTGGGAGCCTGGCTGGGGCAGCAAACACACCCACTGCACCTCCACCCCTCTCACTGTGTGACCCAGGCTTGTCACCTAACCCTCTCCAGCCTCAGCTTCCACATTTATCAAATGAGGCACTGACAGTAGCTACTTGACAGGGCTCTGGCGAAGCACCTGTCATACTGCAAACGCTCATGAATGGCAGTGATGGCAATGGTGGTGACAATGACAACCACACTCGGACGAGCCTGGTGCTGGGGGCTGGGACATGACAGGACGCCAGATGCCAGGTGACCAGGGACAGCAGGAGGAGCCAGGGAGGCCTCCCCTGCAGGAGGGAGCCAGCGAGCACCTCCCAGGGCCACCGTTAAGAAAGAGGGCAAGGTTCAATCCAGAAAAAGCAGCCTGGGGCCAAACCCAGGGTGACTGGTCCTGGGGGGCATCCCTGGAGCACCCAGGAGAGAGGGAGCCCCAACAATAGCTCCCAGTGACTGGACACTCTCCCCACCTCCATGCATTACCTGTAAGTTCACACTGGAGCATCAAAAATATATACTTTAAACATTGCTCTTTTATCTGTTTTCTTATTTGGCGGTTTTACCCAGATTTTATTTGGGGGATCAATGCTCTGAGGTTACATAAGAGTTTGAAAACCCTGGGTCAGGATGTGAAGGGGACCCCAGGCCCCTGTGACCTGTGACCACTGGACATCAGGGCTGCCTGAGGACTGCAGGGCAGGGGCAGGAGAGAGGGTGATGGGGAGCCCACGGGACAGGACCAGAACCAGGGAAGGAGGGGGGCTCATCCTAAAATCCTCTGTGCTTTTGGGGAAATAGAGGAAAAGGCCTGGGAGGGTCCCCGTATCACCCGAGGAAGTGATGAGGATCTGACTGCGGGCTCTGCGATCCTGCACTAGAGGGAACGTTCACGAGGCCACCACGTGTTCTGGAGCTTAAACAGTAATGAAGTGAGAACACACAGCCCCGAGGCGAGCAACCTGCTCTCGCCTCTGAAGACAGCGGTTCACCCCACAACACCTGGCAGCTCGAGGGACAGGACAGGACATTCTCGGCAAACACCCCTGTCCAAGGTCCAGGCTGAGTCAGGAAGGTTCCTGCAGCGTAAACAAACTCAAAACAGCGCCTGCCCCTCCCCTCCCCCTCCGATATCCTCAAGGTCCCCTCTGGCAGGTGCCGGGCCACGTGTGGGGGTGTGTAGAGGGACGGATGAAGCATGCACGTGAGGCCCCTGGCTGCCCTCAGTCCCTAGTAGCTGTTATTTGCACTCCTGGGGACCCGTGTCCCTAGAGCTGACGGTGCCAGTGTGGGCCAGCGTCAGGAGGAGGTGGGTCCTGAGTCTGTGGGCTGCCAGACTCCAGACAAGGTTCCCCTGGCTCCGTTCTCTCTGCTCCCAGACCTGCTGGGAGGGGCCTGAGTTTCAACAGGGTCCCAGGCTTCCGGTGCACCCTGGGCTTTGAGAGGCCCCACAGGAAGGCTGGGTTGCGGCTGCGGTGGTGCCGGCTGGGAATTGGGGAATTGCTTTATGAGGCTGCCCTGGGCTGAGGCAGAGCCTGCTTCCTTCCGCCCAGAGAAAGGCCTGCCCAGGCGGGCCCAGCAGATGGGCTTTAGTGGCCTCTGCAGGATGCAGTAAATGCCCACCCGCCTTTCACATGCAGATGCCTCTGGGGCATGCTTTGTGCTGGAGCCCCCGCTGGGCCAGGCCAGCCTCTGAATGGCTCTCCAACAAAGGGCCTGATGGGGGACCCAGGCCAGTTACAGATGTCCAATGACCACACCCACCCACCAGTCCAAGAGCAGTGAAAGGGGCTCCACACCGGGCCAGCCCCAGCCCCAGTAGCTCCAAGAAGGGACCACACTGCCCGGGAATGACAAGGGGGCAGAGGCATCCTGGCCTCAGAAACCTGGGCCTCCTGCTCTGCCATCTAGGACACTGCTGGCCCAGATAACATCTTCAGACCCCAGCCCTCGCATCCCTGGATCCGCGAGGCCGTGCCCCCTACCCTGGCTCCATGCCTCCCGCCCTAGCTGCCCATCCCCTGGCCTGCCAGCACCGGGCAGGGACGTCCATCCGCCCAGCTAGCTCACTGCTGCTGCCCACGGCAGAATCACTCAGTGAACACTGGCTGCGTGTGTGAGTGAGCGAACGAGAGGCAGTGGGTATGGTGGGGACAACCGGAGCTCTGGAGTCAGGCAGACGGGGGTAGACCCTGGCAGTTCCAAGTCTCTGAGCCTCAGCCCCACTTTGAAAAGGGGCCGGGCCCTGGCCGGTGTGGCTCAGTTGGTTGAGCACTGTCCAGTGCACCAAAAGGTCGCTGGGTTTGACTCCTGGTCAGAGCACATGCCTGGGTTTTGGGCTCGATCCCTGGTGTTTCTCTCGCCCTCTCTCTTCCTCTCTCTAAAAATCAATTAAAAAAATCGGAAGGAAGGGAGGGAGGGAGGGAGGGAGGGAGGAAACGGGCCAACACCCAACCTCTGGGCCGGCTGTGAAGTTAGCATGTGGTGGTCCAGCATGGAGCAGGCCTCCCTCAGTCAGTGGCGACAGCTATCATCGTGGTCGATGTCCTTTTAAAAACCAGAGTTTACACTCCCCATGAGCTCTGTCCCCAAAAAGGGGAAGCCTTCCAGAAAATCTGAGGACAGCTGTCACCACAGAAAGTCTAGGAAGAAGGGTGGTGAACTGCCCCCTTCCCCTGGGGTTCCCAGAACAGAAGGTGCTATTTGGGAACCCAGGGAGCTGGGGAGCTGCCTGGAGACCAACTCTCCCCCAGCCTGGGGTCATCACCCCCCCCATCACACTTGTCCTTCTGCAGCCCCGTTCTCACCGCAGGGACTTCCTCTGAGCTCCTGGGACTTCAAAGGGAGCCAAGCATATCAAGGAGGCCACAGGGTGTGCGAGGTGCAA